ACAGAAAAGTTAATTTGTGGATATCAAGTTGGCAGTAACACAAGGATAAAAAATAATCTCTCTCCACGGAAACCAAATACAACAAGGAAATTCTAATCGTATCACATGTATTACATGGACATAAGCCACGCTGTTTTGGTCATGGACATTTATTTTCAGTCACCTTTACAAAAATAAAGTGCCACGTTGCTGGGAAATTCCAAAGGTGTTTCTTCGTTGCAAATAAAAATTAAGGAAAATTAGTTAATCATAAAAACTATATGGATTTCTAAACAAACATACTGATTGGAACACATAGGTCTGTCATTATTCTAACAGAAAGTCCAATTATATTATTATGATAGAACTATTTTTTTAAATAATTGCTTATTTGAAAGGGTGAGTCACAGAGAGGTATCTTTAATTCACTGGTTTACTCCTTACGTGGATGCAATGGTCAAGACTGGGCCAGAAGGAAGGACTGAACAAGGAGCTGTATCCTGGTCTCTCAGGTTGGTAGCAGGAACTTAAATGTGGACCATTCTCTGCTTCTTTTTCAGGCATATTAATAGAAAGTTGGTCAGAAGTGAAGCAGCCGGGATCCAAACTGGCACTTATAGGGGATCCCTGTACCGCAGAGGGCATTGTAACTCATTACACCACCAGGCCAGTCCCTAACCCTATTTTAGAACATAAAGTTAGAGGATTAAAGAAAAGAGACATAGAGAGAGAAGAGGGGGCCTTAATAAATTACATATATTGTAGAACTGAACTACTAGTTGCATTTTGATTTCTTTGCTTTCTTTAATTCCTACCTCCACCACATCAGGAAATCAGTCCTATTACTATCAAAATCAGAGTTCAGCCATCTCTATACACAGTCTCTGATGTGATATGGTTGTGGCCTCCATCTTGTTTTGCTAAGATCACTGCAATAATTTCTTCCTTGGTCTCCACCACTAGTGTCCATTCTTATCACATGGGCTGGATTCCTTCTTTTAAACATACCCTTCTCCTTCAACATTATTAATATCTTTAATACTGGATTGCCCTCTTGTATCATAGTGAAGTCTACTTTTCACGATGTCTTACCTTATCTGGACTCTTGTCCCCCTCCTGCCCCTTTTCTGCCACTTGGAGTGTGTGTTGTGGGCCACTAACTGTCCTCCACGTTCGCTGAATTCCTGCCTCAGCTTACACATACCGTTCCTTTTGCCTGCAACATGCTTTCCTTCAAATCTACATAACCCAGCTGTTTGTTGTGATTTCACTTTCACTTTGACACCTTCTCTGACCAACCTAAAGTAAAATTTCACTCCATACATACTTGATCTGCATTAGGCTAATTTGTTTCTTTTCCAAAGCATCCATTACCCACCATCATACGGTGTAACTTACTGGTAGTATGTCAGATCAATGTACCTGATAGTTAAAGATTTTACCTGTGGGTAAAGATTTTCAAATATTTCAAATATTTCTTTGTCTCCACTGTGCCACCTATACCAACATTTCCATCTTACCCAAAAGGTACTCAAAATAAATGTTGTTTATCTCAAATTAAAATTTAACTGGTTGTCATGATATTTGTATTTGCTGAATCTGGCAGTCCCAATATAAACAACATTTTTCAAATGAGCAAATAAAATTTTTGGAGATTGAGAAGCAGTAATGTGAATAGTTTAGCAAATTACAAAAAATTCAACGTTAAATGTTAACGAAGCTGTGATAAAGACGAGGAATGAGGAAGCTGCACGTAGAGTTGATCCACAATACAGAACACAGAAGCATGAAAGAACTAGAATCATTGACTACTTCTGGAGGAGGCAGGTATACAAAAATGTGTGGAGGTAGAATGTAGCAAGGTAAAAGCAAGATGGATAGAGGTCTTTAAAAGAAGTTGATAATAGAACCGCCCACATTTGACCAGGCCTGTGACTACTGGTGGCTGACTCATTAGAGGATTAAAGTTTTAGGGTGGGGGAGAAATGAAAAATAAGGCCTTAGTAGACAATTGAACAGAAATTTTGACAAAATGTAGCAGCACTTCATTCTAAAAAACATTTAGGAAGCTAGAAACAGAAGGCATTTTCTTAAACTGAAAATGGATGTCTGTTAAAAACTGTAACACATGTGGGGCTTACTGAAGAAATACTATAGCTCAACCCAGAATCAGGAAACAATAAATATTTACTAAAACCACATATCTGATTAAACAATGGAAAGAAAAATTATAAAACATGAAAGAACTAGAAAACATGATTTCAGTGTAGAAGATCCAAGTGTTCACAGACAAGTTCATAGAATTAGTCGCAGAGTTAATGAAGTTATTGGACAGAAAAATCACTTGTCTCTTATGCTAGCAAAATTATTTAATAAATTTTAAATTTTAAGGCTAACATATAAAAACAGAATATTAAATATTTAGGACTGAATCTAATTAACATGTGCAAGATCTTTACACAATTCTACAACATATTAACAGGAGAAATATAAGAAATTTCAATGTTTTCACACACGGAAAAAAATTTCAACAGGTAAGATCTTTTCCCAAGATTACTACATGTAAAATTCTCATGAATTGTGATACATTAATGCAAAAACAAACTAGAGAATACTCAGGTGGGTAGCATGAGAGATTAATTGAAGGACAGGCTTATAAAATTGAATTTTTAAAAGCATTTTTACAATAAGGAAAAATAATACAAAATTGAACTTCTCAAAAATTAAAAACCTTTACTCATTCATTGAAACATCATTGAACAGTGCAAGAGAGAAGATATTGGCAACACATGTATTTCTCAAAGATAATATTGCCAAAGTGGAAAATGAACTACTTAAAAATAAAGACATCAAAATAATTTTCTTCACTAGACTGGTTTTTCTCAACTAAGGATAGCAAACATCCAATAATTACCAGAAAGGGATAAAGTACTATTCCAACAGGAGTTATCAAAGCAGCGAGTTACCATGGCTCGTATGAAAATGATCATGTTACAACAGACAAATGACAACCCTGATAATTACAGAGTGGATGTGAAGAAACTTTAACTTTCCTCCACTACTCATGGAAATGTACACTAGGATGGCCACTTGAAAATTCAAGTGTACACCTTAACAACTCTATTCATAGCCATATATACAACAAACTAAAACGAACCCATATGTTCACCAAAGGACATGACAGGGTGCTCAAAGACGTATTATTTGTAGTAGCCTCAAATTGGAGGCAGCACGATGTCCACGAAAAAAACTGAATGGATAAATTAATTATGAATAGAGAGCCTAGAAGTTAATAAACACACACACACACACACACACACACACACACACACAGCCAATTGATTTTTCACAAAAAGTACTCAGACTACAGAGTGGAGTAAGCAGACTCACCAACAAATGGTACTGGCAAAATAGAATTCATAAGTGTGGAAAAATTAAATTAGATCCACAACTCTTACTATGTACAGAAAAATAACTCGACATTGTTGCAAGGGACAGCTTCTTGGCAAAGACTGGCAGAGCACAGTTAACAAAAGTAGAACTGAACAAGCAGTGCTACATCAAACTCAGAAGCTTCTGCATAGCAAAAAAAATGATCAATGGAGGGCCCGGCGCAGTGGCGCAAGTGGTTAAGTCCTCGCCTTGCACGCCCGGGATCCCATATGGGCGCCGGTTCTAATCCCGGCAGCCCCGCTTCCCTTCCAGCTCCCTGCCTGTGGCCCCGGAAAGCAGTCGAGGACGGCCCAAGGCTTTGGGACCCTGCACCCGTGTGGGAGACCCGGAAGAGGCTCCTGGCTTCGGATCGGCATAGTATCGGCCCGTTGCGCTCACTTGGGGAGTGAATCATCGGACGGAAGATCTTCCTCTCTGTCTCTCCTCTCTGTATATCCGCCTTTCCAATGAAAAAAAATAATAAAAATAAATCTTTAAAAAAAAAAAAATGATCAATGGAGTGAAAAGACAGTCAATAGGATGGAAAAAAATAGTTTCAAACGTTTGTCACTTATCTGATAATAAATTACTATTCTGAATATATTGGCAACTTGAAAAACTAAACCACCACCTCAACCACAAAAACAAAAGAATCCTGTTGAGAAATGGGCAAAGAATTTCAACGCATAGTTCTCAAGGAAAATTAAATACAAATGACCAATAAATATATGAAAAATTCTCAACATGACTTGTCATCAGGGAAATGCAAATGAAATCACAATGCGCTATCACGTCATCCCTGTAAGAATGGCTAAAATTCAAACCACAGAGAGCAAATGCTGGCACGGAAGTGAACAAAGAGGAAGACATCTGTGCCGGTTGGTGGTAATATAACTTACTGCAGCCACTGTGCAAAGCAGTAGGATTTCCTTAAAACATAATAGAGACAGACTTGCCACATGATTCAGCAAACCCACTACTGTATATGTACACAAAAAGGCTTGAACACAATGTACCAAACAGGTATCTGAACCACCATGCTTATAGTAGCATTGTTCACAACAGCCACAATTTGGAACCAACCAGGATATTCATTATCACTAGACTGGATAAAAAAAATGATATATATACACAGTGGAGTCTCATTTAGCTATTAAAAAAAAAATGAAGTTCTACCAATTGTAACAAAATGAACACAACTAGAGGCCATCATGCTGAGTGAAGTAAATTCTGCCCAAAAAGACAAATACTGCATTGTCTTCCTTAAATGTAAAGCTAAAATTCAAAAATAAACAGAAAGAAAGAAAAAAGAAGAGTCGCTGTGTATCAGTTCAGAAGTGAGTTGAACACTTACAAGCTGTAAATGTAGTTTTGCAAAACTTGTTTTATAACTTTGTCAAACCAATGGTGAAAAAATGTTATTGTATCATAGTTTTAATGACCTATGATTAATTTAAAATGGGTTAGAAATGGGTTAGAGTCATTTTTCCATATATATAATGAATTAAAAGACAAAACTCGGTTTCCTGTTTAAGATGCCATCCCCCCATAGCAGCACAGGCCGGGAAACTTGTGCCACAGCTAAGGCTGCAGCCCCGGCTCCTGGGCCCCAGGCTCCAGGCAGTTCAGCTGACCGCCAAAAGATGGCTCAATCTGCAGGAGCATCAGAGCAAGAAACTGATGTCTGACAGTGGAGTGATGGTGCAACGGTTCTCCGTCGCTAACACTACCAGTGAAACTCTTGAGGCTGCTAAAAGGCTCAATTCCCAAGAAATTGTTTTTAAAAGCCTAGATCTTAGCTGGAGGAAGAGGAAAAGGTGCCAAAAGAAGGTGTGAAAGTTAACAAGGTGATGGTTGCCGAAGCCTTGGACATTTCCAGAGAAATCTACATGGCTATTTTGATGGACAGATCATGCAATGGCCCAATCTGGTGGGCAGTCCATAGGGAGATATTGACATTGAAGAGATGGCAGCTTCGAATCCAGAACTTACCTTTAAGAAACAAATTGACATTTTTGAAGGGAAAACCTCAGCTTTCTTGGAGCTTTGAAAAACCAGGCTGCAGATCAAATTAAGAAGCTGTATAACCTCTTCCTGAAAATTGATGCAACTCAGGTTGAGGTGAATCCCTTTGCTAAAACTCCAGAAGGACAAGTTGTCTGTTTTGATGCCGAGATAAATTTTAACGACAATGTAGAATTCCAACAAAAGGACATCTTTGCTATGGATGACAAATCAGAGAATGAGCCCATTGAAAATGAAGCTGCCAGATATGAGCTAAAATACATTGGACTGGACGGGAACATTGCCTGCTTTGTCAATGGTGCAGGGCTGGCCATGGCAACGTGTGACATCATTTTCCTTAATGGAGGGAAGCCAGCAAATTTCTTGGACCTTACTGGTGGCATCAAAGAAGCTCAAGTGTATCAGGTGTTCAAGTTGCTGACCTCTGAACCTAAGGTTGAAGCCATCCTTGTCAATATTTTCGGTGGCATCGTCAACTGTGCCATCATTGCCAATGGAATCACCAAAGCTTGTCGGGAGTTGGAGCTCAAGGTGCCCATACTGGTCTTTTTGGAAGAAACCAACGTGCAAAAGGCTCAGAAAATCCTCAGCAACAGTGGACTGCCCATCACGTCAGCTGTCGACCTAGAAGATGCCTCCAAGAAGGCTGTGACCAGTGTGGCCAAGAAGTGATGCCTCCATTGTCCTGGCCCCCAGGGAAGAAGGCTCTCACATCACTTTCAATGAGATGCTTATCTCACATGGAGAAAACAGGGGGAAGAGAAAATGAACACCAATCACTGTCTAAATCTGTATTTTCTTCAGTTAAGATACATAGATGGCCTGAATCTGATTTTAGTTACACTGTTGATAAGAATCCTGTCCTGCGTGCTCATACTTTTATTTTTTTCTGTATCACAGTAAGTCTGCTTAGTAGGCAGTGTTTTTCCAACTTTGGGGTTAGGCTGTGTGGCCAAATACTGTGAACCAAATACAGAATGTGAAAGTCAAGTAATGTGCATATACAGAATGTGAGAATCGGGTCGTGGATATGGAGAAGAATTTTGGTAGAAATTTAATCCTACATGCTAATTCAAAAAATGAAAACACAAACCCTAAAAAACTCAAGACAAGATTACTTCTAACATAGTAAATACTCAAAGCGTGCTGCTGAGACAGCCACACAAATCCCTTTACACTCGGCAGCAGTTTTTACAAGTTTCTGATTCTAACACATGTCTGGGATATCGAAAATTTTCCAAAATACATTTTACAATAAAAGGTCTCCTTTGGTGCACTGCACATGCATTCTACCACTTGCCTTAACATTGAAAATACTGTTTACTTCATAATAACAGAAAAACCAGAATCCTTATTTGTGATTTTGGAGTAATTTTCATTTTAACCACACAGTTGAAGGATGCTGCTTTTGCTGGAAATTTCTATAACTATAATTCTGAGACACCACCTCAGATACTGGTGTTGAGTGTGGGGTCTCCTCTCCTTGTCTGTGCACCAGGCCCACCCCTCTTTCCTCCCAGGGCAGACCAGCTGCGGTAGAACAATGGAATTAATGAAGATGAGTATGCCTGGATTCCATGATGCCCATTTCTACAGTGGGAAGAATTTGAGATACCGATTTGTCTAAATTTTGGCTAACTTTTATCAGCATACAAATTTAAATAAAAATCCTATATTTTGTAAGGTGAAAAAAAAAAGACAAAACTCATAATATACACAATCACCTAGTTAAGTCTCACAGATAAGATGTTGTACCACCCCATATAAAAACAACCCATAAACAAAAAATTCCTATTGTGTAATTTTATCTGCCCAAATTCAGGATCAAAATTGACCTGTGAAGATAAAAGCTGAGATAGTAGCTATCCTGGTGGACTTAGTCAATGCCTTTCAGAAACATAAGAAGGCTTCTTAGGCTCTTACAACAGTGTTCTTGTAATATTATTGATATTTATTTAGAGCAAGCAAAACACCTGCAAGCTGTGTATCTCTCTTCATGTGTAACATACTAAGTTAATGTTTTCCAAATGGAAAAGCATTACTGAACAACAACAACAAAAAAGGAAAACCTACAGGGTTAAGGCAAGAAGAGGAAGTAGTTAATGGAGAAATAAATGAGGCTTGAAATTAAATCTGTCCTGAGGCTCATTTGTTGATTAGGAACCTAGGGAGTACTAACTTTTAATTCAGCTACCTGCAAAATCATGAGTTAAAATGAAGATCCTGGACATAAAGTTGGATCCTTTAAGTAAGAATCAGGACAAGTGTCCAGGAAGTCATGGAAAATAGAAAGGTCGATACACTTCTTAGCCGTTATCTGTGCTTTGGACAAAGGTCCTCAAAACTACCAGTTTGGGGTTCAAACTTAAAACCCATTTGTTGGATTTGAAAATTTTAAAGGTGAAGAGTTACAGCATTACTAGCTATAGAATTTCCTGGAATACCTGGGTGAAGCGAACAATTCCCATCTGCAGGCCTACACTCCCACTTAAGGGACAGGGATTATAGCAGAGGAATTTCTGCATTTAAGCTCAAATAATATTTTTTTAAAGTCACATAAAAGAATAACCTATCACACACTTACAGCATCAGTTTCTACTTAGAATCAACTTTAAATAAAAGTTTAAATTTGAAAGGGAATTCTCATTATTAATATTTAAGTATGCAATAAATTAAAGTAGCAAGTGTTGTGTGTTATGTTTTTAAGTGACATATGAAAAAGAGTAAGCCAAATGTGTAGGAAACTGACAAAAATATATAGAAGTTTGGCAATGGAGAAATTCTAATGATATGAATCCTTTTTATTAAACTGAAGGAATTTGAACGATCTTTGTACGGTATAGTTAAGAAGACAAATGAAAAGCCAGGCTCATTAAGGCAGCAGGAAGCCAACTAAAGGTATCGCTGTATTATTGATCCCCTATACATTCTTATAGGATGCACTCATTTTAAGGCTTAAACATTTAACACATAATAGTGAATGATGAGTTTTATTTCTAGGCAATGTGGAAAATCAGTTTTCCTCCCCTTTCTATTGGAATTAGATTACAAACATTAAGGTTACAGAAAGTGAAAGCAGAAAATAGTATCAGTAAAGTTGCTTAGATGCTAGGAATAAACACACACAAACTGTTCTCTGTTCAGCATGAATAACCAGAGGCACAAACAACGTGATGCTGAACGCTAAAACTAAGCACTGTAAAGATAGCAGGACTTGAAAAGTCAGACAGCTGGGAACACACTTTAGATCAGATCTTATTTTACACTGTGATGTCTTCATGGTTTATTCCACTGCTAATAATCCAAGGTGATACACGCTTTATACAATAGAAATTGAATTGCCTCTCATATATAGATAACTAAATGTACCATTATCCTAAATAAGACAAAGATAATATGTTTTTAACTTTCCAGAGTTTGAATATTTCTGATGAAGTTTTCAATTCAATAATAATTGAGTGGGGATTTTGCGTAGCCAGTAAGAGACCCTTTGGACATCTACATCCGTATCTGAAGACCTGGGTTTAACTATATGCTCTTGTGACTCCAGCTTCTTCCTGATGTGCCCCTTGGTAGGAGATGCTCATCCTTCCACAGATATAGACAACTTGGACTGAGTTCCTGGCCCAGTGGCTTCAGCCTAGCCCGAGTCCAGCTGTTACAGGCATTGGGGAAATGAATCAGTGAATCGAGGGACTTTGTCATTTCAGCCTCTCTCTCAAACAAAATCAAAATAATATTTTTATTATTTTTTATTTTTCTATTTCTATTTTTAATTTTCTGATACAGTAAAATATGCTCTGGGTTTTTCACTTATCCTCCCTCAAAACTCCCTCCCCTTCACTGATTTCCCCCATATTATTACAATAGTATAGTATATTAGTTCAATAGTATAGTATATTAGTCATAAGTCCATCATTCTGCTACTTATGCGTGTCCTGACATTGCTGGTAGAGATGATGACAAACAGTCCAGCATCCTATCGTCAAGCTATATCCAGCAGTTTCACTGGGAGTCCATCTTCAATATGGCAGTACGGATGCACACTTCATTGTATCTTCACATCTGGATATGATAATCTCTAGTACTCAGTTGCTATGCATTCCCTTAAGTGAGAAGCCATACAACAAAATCAACAGGAAAAGTTTTTAAAAATTTACAGAATCATGGAGTTAAATAACTAATGTGTCAACGAAGAAAACACAAAAGCCTTCTTGGAGAAAATTATGCTATTTTGTGATCTGTGAGTCAGTGAAGAATTTAATAAGAGGAAAGACATGATCTTCAAGAAATGAAATAAAAACAAAAATATCAAAACCCACGGGTTGCAGCAAAAACAGTATTGAAAGGGTTATTGATCTTATAATTTGCATGAAGTTTGCTTTATATCAGAGAGAACATATGCTATTTGCCTCTTTGGGATTGATTGGTTTCATGGAGCATAAGAATATAATGGATTTTTACCTAAATTCAAAATTCCTTCTAAAAAACTTAATTTCCCTTTTCTCAATTCTTAACTTTTTTTTTTTTGTTTGTAAGATCACAGCAAATGACTAAACATATATCTGATATCTAAAGTGAATCAAAAATGAATTAATTTCTCTTGAAACCTCAATTCTTAAACACTAAATCTTAAAAAAAAACTCATTTACAAATTGATTCTAATTTCAAAGACACTCTTCTGTTGGCTTTTCATTTTCAACAAACTAGAAAGAATTAGAACTGCAATCCTTTTGGTGTTGTAGTCCCACCCTCTGAGTGACTGCTAGTTGTTGTTCTACCCTCCCCCCCACGCCCCAATTGTCAGCAGAGACCATTTCTGGCGCTGGCACAACGGCTCAATGGAATAATCCTTCATCTGAAAGTGCCAGCATCCCATATGAGTGCCAGTTTGTTACTGGCTGCTCTACTTCCCACCCAGCTCTCCGCTAATGGCCTGGCAAAACAGCAGAGGATGACCCTTGCCTTTGGGATTCTGCACCCACATGGGTGATCCAGAAAAAGCTCCATGTCCTAATTGTCTCAGATCTGACTATTGTAGCCATTTGGGGAGATGGAGACACAGCAGAGGGAAGTTCTTTCTCTCTGTCTCTTCTCTCTGTAACAATCTGCCTTTCCAATTTAAAAAAAAAAAGTGAATCATAAAAAAGAAAGGAAAGGGGGAAAAAAAAGGAAAAGAGAAAAAACTGATTCTGGGAAATGCCAAATCCAGAACCAGTGCTAAGCAATTTCAGTAGTTTGTAAACACAAACCGTCTCCACCTCAGCTCAGTCAGTATTGATTATCAGATTTTGAGATGTGATGGCCTTTGAAAAATTCCAATACATTTTTTCACAAATTGATTTTAATTTTATAATTCCCTATGAATTATTCCAGTAAGACTGAAAAATATTCACATTTTTATACAGATGAGAATCATCAACAAGATATATAAAATAGCATACAATTAATATTTAGAAATATATAACCTATTTGTTCTTGATGGGCCATTGCTCCATTAACTGTAAGCCATGAACAACACATCTGGCATGTTTGGCAAATGACAGGAGAGTCACCATTAGGCTTATGGAATATTGTTTAGGTTTCATGGAATATTATTCTATACTAAGTAGGTGAACTTCAAAGCAAAAAGTCACACAAGACATGGCAAGAATCTGCGAAAGGCAAAACAT